TGATAACATGTGACTTGATGAAAGACCTGAAGCAGGCTGTTTGCCTTCCTCATCAATGATAGGCGTTTGCCTAACTATGGACTGAAAGGAGGAAATGATGGTATGTAGCCTTTTTGAAGGGTAGATTGCAATTCCAACAGGAGTAAGGTTTTATTTTCTGTGTTGATATGATAGCATGGACAATCTGAAAAAAATGATGCTAAGCTTGTATTAGTGCTCAACATGCTGCTTTTTTTGTGCGTAATACTCTTCGTGATGAATTACATTGTAGATGATTAACTGTACTGAAATTTCACTTGTAAGTGGAAAGGAAACATTGCTTATAATTGTTTGGACTCTGCTAACTAAAACAGATATGCAGGGCTATTAAGAAATGAAGATGACATTGAATGAAATGCAAGAATGATGAGGAAATATGACGAGGAACAAAGGGCACAATTACTGCTGTCACTTCTGTGTTGCTGTGAAATAAGTGACAGTGAACTCTGACTCTAGAAACAGACAACAGACTCCAGACTCCAGCCTCGCTGTAGAATGCAGTGGTTTGAGGGCCCTAGCAGAGAGGATGCCTATCACATTCTTTTATTCTTGAAGCAAAGCTATGGATTCTGCAGGTTATGATGGGGTAGGGGCATCCAGTGTTTATGGCACTGGACCAGCAATCCAACGGGCCTGAGATCAAAACATATCACACTTAAATTGGAAAAATGAATTCTGTAACTCTGGCAATTTTGGGTTGATGTTTGATAATAAGGTTTGAGTGTACCTCTCTAATGAAGGACCAGTAACCATTTACGTGTTAGCCTACATGTGACTCCATTGCTATAATACATAGTTGACTCATGAGCAACAAAAAATGTTTTCCCAGTGCCACCCACACGAATAATGTTAGAAGTGCAGCAGCTGGTAATTGACAAGTAGTGGGGTAGCTGGAGGAATAGAGGTGTGGAGTATATTAAGGATTAAGAGTAATGTCAGTAATTTTATTCATGGATCACTTGTTCTAATTGTACTTAGCACATGTTTGATTTTTACATTTTTTTACACTGCAGTTGTACTCTAACAAAAATTTATTATTAGTTGCTGATAATGTGTGGGGAAACAAACTGGATTTGAAATCAGTAATTTTAACATGAGTGAGTAATAAGCAAACTTTAACACTTTCTTTTTGTGTACGGACATTGTTCATATCTTCTTTCCAATTTATGATGACTTATAAGTTAGATTGGACCAAGCAAAGAAGAATATTTGTAAAATGGTAAGTAGCAGGAACAAGCTTAGCCAAATCCTCAGTTTCAAGTATTAGTTTTCAACAATGGCAAATTCTGACGCTGTTGCTCTGAGTTGAAGCACAAGTCCTAGAAACACTAACCAGAATAAAGTTTCAACAGCACATGAATTTTCCAGGCATTGATTTCTCCTTTTTGGTTGAATCAAACTTTGCAGAGGAATTGGTATGTGTTAAAGATGAGTTGATTTCCTATTATGCTCGGTCAATTTCAAGAAAATCATTGCTTGTTGAATGGCTTTGGGAATTTTAAACTATCTTTTGGCATAAGATTGAGGAGCACGTGATTGTGATCAAGTTCACATGTCAGTATGGGAGAGTCTCCAAATGATAATTAGTAGAATACATAATTATCTTAAACACCTCCTTTTCTGGTGCTGTCACTTACAACAGTAAGATTTTCATATTGGCTGGAAGATGTGATGAGATACTCCAGGAGATTTCCATAGTTAGTGAAATGTGTTGCTGATGGCTCAAAGGGTATATTTTGAGAAAAGAGTTCCTGATGCTTTCCTCTTCAAACTCTTATAAATAGCTGCTTGAACCAAAAATGGTGTAGGGAGAGAATCGGACTAGATAGATCATGCTGCGTCTTCTAACTGTGATGGGTTCCTTATCCAGAGGTGAGCTTGACTGACTGACAGGCTTGGTTTCCTGCTGGAGGCACGACACCCCAACATAATGTTTGTGACCAAGTCATCCCTGGGGGTGGGATGGAAAGGAGACCTCTGGTCCGTGGGAAACGGGGGCTCACGTGAAGAACTCTTCCTGATCTACAGGGAGTGCTTGCAGCCTTCTTGAAGTTGTCCTCACTTAATGCTGCCGTGTTTCCTGAGGCGTTTGAAAACTTGGTTGCCCAGATGGCTGCCCCCTCTGGTTAAAGCCTGGAACTAAGTAGGATTGGAGCTAGTTTCCTAACATGCTTGGAGATCTTTCCCATTTAACCCCCAACCCCCGGATCCTCTACCCGCAATTTGATGTGCTAATTCCACCCCCCCAACCTAAGGCTTCCTGAAAAAGGAAATGACCCATAGGTCGTGTGACAAAACCCTGTTATGATCATTGCGAATAACTATCCAGAACATTTTAGTAAATTTCTTTTACCAATATAATGTTTATATTAAGTATTTAAGGTTATTAATTTAGCCTTTGCTGTAAATTATTGACCAGGGTTATCAGGCTTTATGTAGATGGCAACTCTTTTTTTTTTTTCATTATTTCATATTTTGACAAGAACTGTTATGATTAACTACTGAATTGTGGATGGATGAGAAAAGGACCAATTGTATCCTTGGCCAGAGATTAGCTGCTTCTGATTGTTGGCCGTTAATTATTACCTGAAAGATGATATTCAGGCTGTGTATGTGAAGATTGGCCAAGAACATTCTCTTCACTTTAGAAATGTTGTTGTGGAAACATGATTTGCTCTCAGTAAACATTTGCTTACTGATCTTTTTAAAGTTGCCACGAGATGAAATTTTATGAATTGGTACAAATGGCTTGAAATTTCCCTTTAACAAATGTTTTTACAGTTTGTTGGATAGTATAATTTCTTGACCAATGATATTTCCCACAAAGTTAGTAACATTATTAGAAGGGAGAACTTGGGAAATATCTTGCTGATAAGTTCCTGCAGATCACTCATTGTTTTTGTTAACCTCGCTGCATTAAATAGTTTCCTGGCTTCAGCTTCTATAGCTACTCTCAAGTGGATCTTGCACTGGCTTCAAACCCAAAATGTGAAATGCTAACAAATATTCAAACTGAATGTAGTAACTCAAAACTGTACATCTGCAACAGGCTGTGTGCTGTTAGAAACAGAATTATATTCGACCAGAACCTGTGACCTGATAACAGGACTTATTCCCTACTCTACCTTCCCCAGCTAGCCAGGGGATCAACCCTGATTTAGTGAAGATACAGAATAGCACACTAGGAGCAGCACCAGGTATGCTTGAAAATGAGGTGACAAACTGGTGAAACTACAATACATGACTACTTGTGTACCAAATGGCAAAAGCAGCGGGTGATGGACATGTCCAAATAAACTGACAATCAATAGATCAGTTCTAAGTTTGGCAGTCCTGTTACATCTAGTTGTGAATAGTGGTGGACAATCAAATAACCTCAGGAGGTGGTTGCTCCACTGTCCCTATCCTCAAGAATGGGAGAGCCCAGCACATCAGTATAAAACAGAAGGCTGAGGCATCAAAATTTCTTCAGGTAGAAGTGCCGATTAAATGATCCATCTGGTTTCCTGACGTCCTCAGCGTCACAAATGCCGGCCCTCAGTCAATCCAATTCAATCCTTGTGAAGGTAGTCCATCCCTCCAAAGGTTACAGGCCCTGAAAACATTCCAGCAATAGTAGTGAAGACTTGAGCTCCAGAACTAGCCGTGCCCCTAGCCAAGCTGTTACAGTATACCTAGAATGCTGACAATGTGGAAAATTGCTTGTGGCTGTCCGACACACCAAAAGGCCGGACATATACAACGCCTCACCCACCAATACTGCCCTGTCAATCTATTGTCAATCAGTAAAACGAACGACATCGTTGTTGAAAGCGCTATCGGCAGCGCTTACAAAATAATAACCTGCTCACTGCTCGGTTTGGTTTCTGCCAGGCTCACTCGGATCCTGACCACATTACCTTGTTCCAAACATGAACAAAGGCACTCAACTTCAGAAGTGAGAGTGACTTCCCTTGACATCAAAGTAGTGTTGACCGAGTATTGCATAATTGAGTCCTGGCAAAACTGTGTGTCAGTAAGGATCAGGGAAGACTCTTTGAGTTGGAGACACCTTAAGCATAAAGGATCATGGTTCTGGTTGTTGGAGGTCAGTCAATCACAGCTGGGGGACATCTTTGCAGGAATTCCTCCAGTGTGGTGTCCTAGGCCTAACCATCTTTAGGGACAGTAGGAACTGCCGATTGCTGGAGAATCTGAGGCAACAAGGCGTAGAGCTGGATGAACACAGCAGGCCAAGCAGCATCGGAGGAGCAGGCAAGCTGA